GATCACAAGGTCTACTAATTGACTCTTTTGTGGCTAAGCAGAGCCATCTATGAGACATTTCACAAAACAATACTACAGTGAACACAACATTTTCCGAGGGCCTTGGGTTAATACATTTGATAATGTCTGGTGACTGTCCTTTATCCATACCTATGATATCATCCTCATTCCTGCATTCCCTGTGTAGGGCCAATCAAACAGCCATGATTTCCCACTTCTTTCTATTTGTAAAATGTAAAGTATTAACCCAAGTGCCACCAGGGAAAAATAAACAAAAAATGGGGAAAATGCTGTGCCTATTTCTATATCTTTGTGAAATGTTTGCTCATAGATGGCTCTGCTAGTACCTGATTTGAAATGGCGGGGAAAAACGTATTATGAATATAGTGTTATGAATATCATGGTGTTATTTTATTTTAAACATTATGACTGTATAATGTGGCAACAGTTTCAATAATAATCATAAAGTCTATAATACAAATAACACCATTGATATTGATAGCATTTAAAAAATAAATTAATTAATTTAAAAAAAAGGCAAACTCAAGGAAAGGTGAAATCAGGTGAGATCACAAGGTCTACTAATTGACTCTTTTGTGGCTAAGCAGAGCCATCTATGAGACATTTCACAAAACAATACTACAGTGAACACAACATTTTCCGAGGGCCTTTGGGTTAATACATTTGATAATGTCTGGTGACTGTCCTTTATCCATACCTATGATATCATCCTCATTCCTGCATTCCCTGTGTAGGCCAATCAAACAGCCATGATTTCCCACTTCTTTCTATTTGTAAATGTAAAGTATTAACCCAATGCCACCAGGGAAAATAAACAAAAAATGGGGAAAATGCTGTGCCTATTTTCTATATCTTTGTGAAATGTTTGCTCATAGATGGCTCTGCTAGTACCTGATTTGAAATGGCGGGAAAAACGTATTATGAATATAGTGTTATGAATATCATTGGTGTTATTTTTATTTTAAACATTATGACTGTTATAATGTGGCAACAGTAAAATCAGATAACGTAAAATATTTTGTAAATCAAAGAAAAGGGTAAACGGGCGAAACAGGCAGTACTCTTAACTGGCTCATTGGTGTACATGTACATGGTGTACTTGTACATGTGTTGCCATCTATGTGTAAAAACAATCAAACAAGTAACTCGCATTGGGCATAGCACGTACATACACGAGTTACCCGTCGCCACTGGGTTAAATGTAAATCATTAACTCTGTTTTGAATGCCATGTTACATTTAGCCAAGTCTCCAGTCTTTACCCTTTTCACATTCCTCATCCACACACTACACTATTATTTAACATTACCTTAAGGTTTGGGAGAGCGGCAAAATATTTTACAACAACTTTGTATTTTATTGATGCTCTATTTATCTGATATGTGACAATAAACTACACATTTTCTGATGTGAAAAATCAAGCATTTTCCATGCTAATAAGTTAAATTTGCCTTTGTGAAATGTGAAAATCTGCTCTTTTTGGGGGAGGCTTGCAGATCTTAGTTATAATGAAGTTATTCATGTAATTTCAGAAAACTAAATACTGACCTATGAACAATCTCTTCTAGAAACAAACCTAGGACAAGTTCACACTTTCACTAATGAACTTTTATAATTTATCTTTATAGGATCTACATTCTGTCCTATAAATCATTTTTGGAAAACTTTGAACAGATATTCACTCTAAAATTATTATTGTATTGTGTTCCACTGTATCCTATTCTTTTCTATTCCTAATAATGCCAACCTTAGGTCTTTAACACAGGATTAGGACCATGGGAAATCTTAAGTAAAACAACTAATATTTGCCACTGAACTGTATGTGGTCTATGCATTTATTGGCACTACATTTAAGGCTGACAAACCTTAGCCACATTCTGAATAATCTGATAAGACAGAGCTTCTAGATCTCCATGGTGATGTTCAAATAATATTCCAATCCAAGTTCTACCATGCCATAATATAGGGAGTTGAAGTTTCCTGTCCTTTCCAAGAGATCAAAAGTGCAGAGGACACAACAATCCCTTGCCATTACTCAACTGCCATCAAAAATCACAACTTTGAAGAGGATTTTGAAAGCCACAATGGATTATTCTTACAAGATTTATCAAGAACTGGATTACCAGAGCAGGAAATGCACAAAAAATACAAACAATGGCACTGAATCAAAATTTCATAATTTATTTTCTTGTTTTTTTGTGACTGCTAGGTTATAGGAGGCAAAGTGGGTAAGAGGGAGAGAGGAGAAGGAGGAAGGGAGGAAATGAAAGAGATAGGGAAAAAAGATGGAGAAAATATTAACATTCTTACCTGCATTACTTCAGCAACATCCAAATCATCATTGACCATTTTCATTAGGTTGAAGCGCTGGTACCCTCTGTCTCCATTTTCAAAACTCTTGTCACACATGACACAGTGAGAGCTTTGGTGCACCTTGGATATCTTCCTTTCTCGATGATGTTCCTGTTTCTTGGCTTTGG